GGGGAGGAGGGGGGAGGAGATGGGGGAGTATGAGTGCTGGGTGTGGGATGAATGTGGATGTGGTGCAATGTGTGAAAGAGCGAAAGATGAAAGGGGGGGGGGGGATTGTGGATTGGACAGAGATGGAGGTGGTGCGTGGTTGCGCGTTGGGTGACTGAATGGAATCGATGCATGCATACAACCAAAGGTCCGATGCACTCCGGGTGCCCTCTGCAGAGGAGCACTAGAGCGCTGCTCTTCGCACTGGGGGATAATGCTGGCAGCTTCAGAGCGACGTTTTCTTGGACCCTCCGGGGGGGGGGGGGAGAGGAGTTGGCCCTGGATGGCATTCACTGACGTTGCACGAGATGTGGGTGACGAGAGGCGAGAGGGCCGAGAGGGACTTGCCAGGTGACTCAGTTTTTGCTCACCTTGTCCGATTTCATGTGCCTGGATCGCCTCCATTTTCGACGTGGAGGACTCGAATTACTCGAATTACTCCAATTACTCCAAGTGACGTCTCCGCGTCCCGGTCCTCCGTTCGATCCCGCCCCTGGACTCGAGGCCTCATCCTGCACGGCCGAGACAGCAAATGCCTCTTGATCTGCATGCTTCCGCCTGCACTCCTCCTCCCTACTTGCCGGCAAGATACAAAGATGGCGTCCCATCGACTGGCAATTTAGCTGGCAAGGTGGCAAGGTGGCAACGTGACGCCAGGCGGCCTGGAGCATCCTTGGACAAGGTTGGTGTGAAGCCCTCGGCTCATCGCCCTCCTGCCGAACTCGCTCAAGGGCTGTGGCATTTTCATTTCGAGCCCTGAACTCGGTCGACGCTAAATCGTGGGGTGGTGGGCACAAGCGAAGTCGGTCATGTGATTTAAGCCGAACGAGTGGTGTGGGCCGCGGCTGCACAGGCGATTGCAGGCGACGATACGTCTTCAGATAGTGAGTAGTGATGGGGGGGCATAGATGAGCCGAGTGACAGATGTCGACGTAGCCTTTCCCACTCCCCACTCCCCACTTGCCACTTGCCACTTCCCACCCAGCTCTGCTTGATCGCTTGAGCTGCTTGGTACGCTGCTTGATTGCATACGTCAGGATTGCAGGATCTCGACTAACCTTGACCTCCCCGGGCGTGGCGGAGTGGCGTCATTCTCCTCCGATCTATCCGATCTGCCTGACTCGGTGTAAGCGTTGGCTGGAGCTGTGGCTGGAGCTGGGCCGGAGGTCGAGTTCAGGCCATCAGTTCCAGCATTTGGTTTCGGGGCTGACCTCCTTCCTTGTGTGATATGGAGATCCATGTCCGTCTGTCTGCCGTCACCGTCGTCACGCAGCACCTGACACGTGCCACGCTCACCACGTAGTCACGTGCCATGAACCTTGACGTGGGGCAGCCACCCCCTCCAACACTCTGCTATCACTGCATGTCTATGTCTACCTACTCCGCCTTGGCCTTCCCCGCATCGCTCTCGCCGAGATGCATCCACAACGCCGTGAAGAAGAGGAACGCGGCGGACGTGGACAAACACCCCGCGTAGAAGGGATACGCGCCCGCGATCCAGCGCGGGTGCTCGTCGTGGCGGAGGGGCACGACGCTCGCGCGGTCCGCAGCCTCGAGGAAGCTCCACCCGTGCCGGAAGTAATTCACGACAAACTTGAACACGCCGTGGCGGTCCGGCGCGTCGAATGTGGCGCGGTACGTCGTCCCGTCCGGCCGGAAGCCGACGGGCGTCAGCTCGGTGCGGATGTGCGGGTCCAGCATTGTGAACTCGAGCTGCAACGCCCCGTCCCAGTTACCCCAGCGTGACGCGTTCCCGCGCGTCTGGTACTCTTGCACCGTGATTTCGTACGTCACCTCGTCCTTCTTCGTGTACGCGTCGCGCGGCGCACTCTCCCCTTTGCGGTGGTGGTGCGTCTTGACGACGCGGATCACACCTGTCTCCTGGAACAGCCAGCGCGTCAAGTCCTCCACCGCTTGCCGGTTGCCGCTCTCCACCCCGTCCAGCTGCTTGCCCCACCACTTGTCCGAGAGCATGGCTGGCGACCCGACGAAGCCGATGCGCGAGTTTGCGCGCGTCTGCAGCGCCGCGACGACCGACATCGCCTCGCCGGCGAACTTGACCGGGTGCCCTGGCTTGGTGGACGGCGCGGCGCCGTCCTTGTCCCCGACGTACGCGGTCGGCGGGGCGCGCAGCACGTCGAAGAGGAGAGGGTTCGAGGACAGGCTGAAGCCCGTGCCGTGCGGGTAGACGATCGGGCCTGTTTCCGAGAGCACGGTGTCGGGCGCAACGTTCGACGACTGCGGAAGCACGACGCAGCAGCTCTCGTGGCCCCCGACGTGCGAGAACGCATCGCGCACCTGGTATCCGGCAGGTGCGACGTCCACGCCATACTGCTTCAAGACGGTGCGCTGCATGTCCCCGATTTCGGGAGAGAGAATGTACAGTGTGTTGAGGTATGTTCCCTGCGCATCGAAGAGCGCTTGGGGAGAGACATGCTTGCCGAGTTCTGCGTGAGCTGCGTCACAGGATCAGCTTACTGTCCGTGTCGGGGGCGAAGACGATGAGGTGTTCGTGCAGTGGCACGCCGAACGCATCGAGCAGCAGCTCGTCCCCCGGCGCCGCGAACGTCAGCTCGTACCCGCGTTCTGCTGTCAGTTATGGCCTGCGCCGCGACGCACGCTCAAGAGACGACCAGAAGCCCTTGTAGTGCTCCTGCTGGACTTTGGGGCCGAGGACGACGAGCACGCGGTCGCCGGTCGACGAGCGCGCGGCGGCGGGCACGAGCGCCGCCGCGAAAGAAAGGAGTGTGGTGAAGATGGATCGAGCGCGCATGGCGCTGTGTTTTGTCTGGGTGTCAAGTACAGTGATTGAGATGAGATGCCGACGCGCCAAAGTCGGTGACGAGTGACTTCCAGCGCGCCAGGTCCGCCTGTCCGCCAGGTGGAGGAGTGCCACGCCCACGTGGCAAGCTATCACCGCCGCCACCCATCTCCACTATCACTCAAGATTTCTGAAGTGGAGGTTCTCTCAGGCTCATAGCATTGCAAGCTCCTTCGCCATCACCTCGAGTCTCGAGGCATAACCCCATTCTCAGCTCCTCCCTTCCCGCCCATTAACCCCAACCCCGCGATGTCCACCCCCGCCCCCGAGATCCTGCTCTTCGCGCGCGGCGTCCTCGCCCTCTTCGACCTGTGGCCCGCGCTAACCATCGCGGTACAGAACGGGTGGGGCGGGCCCGAGTCGGTGGAGAAGAAGACGTGGCTCCTCTCCGAGCTCGTCGAGCTGTTCGAGGAACGCGCGGTGCGCCTGCCGAGCGGCGCGATCGATCCCAGCGGCGACGAGCCGCTGAGCGAGGACCAGGTCGCCGGGCTGCTCGAGCAGGTGATGGGCGACGAGTTCGAGGCCCTCGTCGAGGACAACTCGATCGAGCTGATGAGCGCCGACATCGTGCGCTGTTGGCGCGACATCCTCGCGGGCCGGGGCGAGGTCGTCGACGCCCTCGAGCGCAGGGCCGCACAGGCCAGCCGGAGCGGCGTCAAGGCACACGACGGCGGCGGCGAGGTCGAGGTCGAGGTCGGGGAGGAGGGGGAGTGGGAGAGCGAGGACGACGACGACGACGAAAACGAGGAGGAGGCGCCACAGCTCGTCGAGGCTCAGCCGCAGGAGCCCAGGCAGCGCCAGGGGCCTGTCATCGACGACGACGGGTTCGAGATGGTCCAGTCCCGCAAGTCGCGCCGTCGCTAAGCTGCGATTCCTCTCCAAGCCGCGCTGCGCCCGGGCGCTCCGTTCAGTCCTCGACATCGATGGCGACGACCACCAACACAAGCTTACGCCCATCGCTTCGTTGATGCGCGCTCCCGCCCCGCCCCGACTGCCCCATACTGTATATATTTAGTCCGCGCCCGACATGCATAGATCTGGGCCCTTGATTGCTTACTCCCTCGTGTCTAATTGAGCATAGTAGTCTATACATAGCTGTGCGAACACAATGATCTGCGCGCGACTCTAATGCCGCACGGCGATTCCCCTCTCCGTCAACCTGCAACCCGCACAGGTTGTTTGCGACTTGCGATGACGACGCTCCAAAGCGTCGTGACGTCTACTCGACAACGGCCTGAGCGGTGGAGGCTCTCAGCGCCGCAGTGCGAGCCTGCTGACGCTCAATCAGGTCGATACCCACAAGCTTGGGTCAGCTCTTTGCCCATAGCGCCATCCTGTAGAGCGTGTCGGCCTCACGCCGCAAGCCCCACAGAATCAGATGTGACGCCACTAATCGACATCACGCTACTCACAATCTTCGATGCCTTCCAGAACTGCACGCAGTTGATGATCTGCTTTCCAAACATGACGGGGAAGTTGAGGGCGGCAAGCAGCTGGGGCCACGTGAGCCAGCCAGTCGCAGTCGAGATGGGCGTGTGGATAAAGGCCATAAGGTACAGGGCGACAAAGAAGAGCTCGTTGCAGAAGCAGAACGTAAAAAGGGTGACCTTGTTGTTGTAGTAGAGCCACAGGATCTTGGAAACATCCTGTGTGATCTTCTTGTGCGACGACGAGCCCGTAACGAGCGAGCTGTGGTCAGCGTGGGCAAGACATGCAAAGATGGCCATATTCGCCGGATATGCAATGGGGTCTGTGATGCTCGCGCATGGCGAAGATGCGCCTCAACGCATCCCAGCCGATTAAACTCGGTCAGAGGAGCACTCTCCGACGGCTTAGTGGGCTGGGCAAAATGCCAAGACCCCTTGCCCGCTGGTACCTCCACCGGCCCCCGACGGCCCCCTCGCCGGTTTCAAAGGCTCGGCGCGCGTTCGAGTCTCAAAACTCGCACTCACGAGTACATGTGAATGTAGTGGCTGGCAAAGTCGAGGGCGATCAGGAACTGGAAAATGATGACCATCGACGGGAATTGAGAGTACTTGATGGCGAGGAAGCAGAGCAGACACGCCGTCGTGCAGCGGTCCGTGACCATGTCAAGCACAGCGCCAAACTTTGATGCCTGGCCGAGCGCACGCGCGGCCTGCCCGTCGACCGCGTCCAGCAAACAGGAGATGCCGTAGATGACTGTACACAGCAAAGGGCGGACCGGCATGTAATACAAGCTCACTCCGGCGAGGATGACGCGTGCGTATCCGATGAGGTTGGGTACGAAGAGGAAGACGTTCTCATCAACACTTCCAGTCAGCAAACTATCAATGGTAGCGCCACAGACAGGTGGTGCTATGTCGATTCACTCACGTGGTAGTTCTGTGTTTGTGTACCGAGTCAATGTCAGCATTCAGCCAATTGCTTTCAGACCACGCTCTTAGCTCACGCGAGATCAACAGCACTGTGGGTCAGCAGGGATGCAAAGAACGGGGATACGCACAATTTCGCGTCGTAGACATCGTCAACGTTACGAGAGCGCGAGCCAACACGCGGGCGCTGACGCATGACACCGTCGCCGTCAGCGGCGACAGCTGATGTCGATGCCAGAGGTTTAGGTGTGGGCGAGGCGTTCGCCTGCGACCGCGTCTGAGGAGGAGCCATAGAGGGAGCGGCGGTGGGAGTATAGTAAGAGGGAGAGTTACTGCGTGTAGAGCAGAGGGTGGGGATGAATGATGAGAAAGAAAAGAGGAGATGGAGGATGAACAAGTGGAGGAAAGAAGAGGAGAGATGAGGTCGACCTCTTGGGCTTGGTCGTTGGGACCAACGTCGTCGCCCTTAAGTGAGACCTCCCCTTGGGCTAATCTGGGGTTAATCTTGGGCTAATCAGTATTCAGTCGATCAGGGCAGGTCAATACATATAGCTACGTACAGAAGAATGCCACGGAGGCAGACGCGTGTCTGCGTCTCCGTCGACTCACCAATGACGCTAGCCATCTTCTACTCTTGTTGACATCCCATTCACTCCCAATGGCTAGCGCTAGCCTTCTATCCCCCGGTCCATCGGGCTCGGGCGGCGCGACGCCCACTCCCGCCGCATCACGAAACAACCCCATCTCCCTGCGCATCTACAAGGCGATCGGGACGAGCTTTGACGACCGCAGCAGCCGCGAGGCGCTCGAAATTGCCTCCAGCTTCTATTCTGCCAAGGGCAAGGGGCGGGCAGACGACGACGACATCCTCCCCATCCGCCGCACGCTTAAAGGCCAGTCGGCCGCGACCGCGCGCCGCAATCTCAAGCGCGATATCGAGGCGCGCATGGCTGGCGGGGCGCAGCGCTTCCTCACTGCCTTCGGCGAGGTGGACCAGAAGCTGGACGTGTTGCGCGAGCACATGCTGGACATGCAGAGTCGATGCGACGCGGTACAGGCCGAGCTGGACCAGGCAAACTCGGGAACCAAGTACCTCTTAGAGAGGGCGGACGGGCTGAGATCGCAGCGGTGAGCCCTTTCAATCTGCGCGCGCCGGTCTGATTTCAGTGCGAGCGCACAACTACGCCTATCTCTAGTCAAGCTGTTTCTTGCACGATTTACCCTCACGCCGGCCGAAGAGGCAGCACTGACGGCGCGTGACCACGAAGTTGGCCCCGAGCTGTTCGCGGCGCTCGACCGTGTCGAGACTATCCGCCGCGACTGTCAGGCGCTCCTCGGCGGCGACGAGAGCCGGATGCAGGCCGGTCTGGACATCATGGCTATCACGGGAACGCAGATGGAGGCGGGGTACGCCAAGCTGCACCGCTGGCTCGAGTTTGCGTTCCGGCAGATGACGCGCGAAGCACACCTCGAGGTGTCGCCCGCGATGCGCGAAGCGGTGAAGCGGCTAACGACGCGGCCGGCGCAGCTCAAGGACGCGCTGAGTGTGCTCACGAGCACGCGGCAGAGCGCCATTCTTACGGCGTTCTTGGACGCGCTGACGCGCGGCGGGCCGAACGGCCTGCCACGCCCGATCGAGATCCACGCGCACGACCCGACGCGCTACGTCGGCGACATGTTGGCGTGGGTGCACCAGGCGACGGCGAGCGAGCATGAGCTCCTCGAGAGCCTGTTTGGTGTGCGTGCCCAGCGCATGGTTGGCGCCGAGCGCGACGCGGGCACTACGGACGCGGACAGGCGTGTGGCAGAGGCGCTGGATCGCGACCTCGAGGGACTAGGGCGCCCGCTCAAGCTCCGCATTGAGCAGACTATCAAGAGTCAGGAGGGCATAATCATGACATACCGCATCGTGAACCTCGTCCAGTTCTATCTCGTGACCATGCGCAAGACGATCGCACCGGGGGCGCTGCTTGTCAAGACGCTACAGGAGTGAGCCCGCAGGTTGGGAGGTTCATCTGACGCCAGACTGTACGACTATGCCAACGCGGCGTTCTTCGAGACGCTGCAGGCCCAGGGCCGCTCACTCCTCCGCTTCCTGCACCCACCAGACGCGACACTCTCCCCACCTCTCAGTCTGCGCGACGTGTGTCAGGTCCTGCGCGAGATCATCGCCGTGTACGACACGTCGCTCGTGGACGCCGCGGAGCGCGAGACGGATTTCGCCAAGCTGCTGGATGCGGCGGTAGACCCAGCCGTGGAGATGTGCGAGCGCATGGCCGACCTGCGGAAGGGAAGTGGGAGTAACGGGGCATGGGACAAGGACGTGTTCCTCGTCAACTGTCTTGAGTATCTCGAAGTGAGCTTTCCCGCCCTGCTGAATGCCAGGCGAAACGCTGATGCATAGCACACGCTGGAGCCGTTCCCGTTCACCGCGCCGCGCGTCAAGGCGCTCCAAGCGCAGATTGAGACGCACGTCGAGTCGATGACCTTCGAACATGTAAGCTTGGCTGGAAGACGCGGAGCTGACAATAGCACGGAAAACTGCTGGAGCAGTGCGGCCTCGCGCCCGTCATGCGCGCCATCCACAACCGGCCACCTGACGTGAGGGTCCGCGCAACGGAGCTGACAACAGACGCCGCTCTCCCGCCTCCCCGGCGCGACATCGACCGAGCTCACGGCCGCCCTCACGAAGTTCTCGTCCTTCCTCACCTCGCACGACCCACTCACGTCGCCGCGCTTGGCGCTGCTCGCGAACCCGCGCTCGGCCGAGGTCATCCACCGCACCGCGCTGCGGCGCATCGCGGAGGCATATGCGGAAGTGTGCGAGCGCGTGCTGGACAAGAAGGAGGGGTACGAGTTCGCCGAGACGCTCCTCCGCCGCGGACGCGACGAGGTCGAGGTCGCGCTGGGCGTGCAGTAGCCACTGTCCATGCATCTATTACTCTACTTTTGGTGGAGGAAGAGCTCGTCGAGGAGCTTCATTGTGTCCTCGGGGCACGTGACCGAGTGCCCGATCGTGCGGGGGTCCTCGTAGATCTCGTAGTCGTTGCCGCCCTTGAAGGTCTGCGGTCAGCACACCACATGATGGGTTGATCTTGGCCAGCCGCCAAGTACACACCTTGTCGCCGAAGAAGTGGATCTCCTCAAAGCCCTCGCCCTCGAGGCGCCCGAGCGCGTACGTCTTGTCCCACCCGACGGGGAAGACGTCAAACGAGATCTGGCCGCCAATCGAGTAGGTCAGGTTGAGGTGGGCGAACTTCTCGCGCAGAATCTCGACAAACTTGGGGCGGATTCCGTGCTCCTTGTCGTACTTCTCAAACGCGATACGCTCGTCCTGCGCGCAGTTACGGCCGATAGGCGACACGTTGATCATGCCATTGCGGAACTCGACAAAGGTGCCGCTGAAGTCAGCGTCTGGTCGAGGTTCTCGATCGTCTTTCACTCTCGGCGCGAGAGAACAAGGTTGCCTTCAGCAACAAGCTCAGCAGGCACGCTTTCTCGAGTGATACCGCCCGCGGAACCGTTGCGCTAATATTTTCGCCGTGTCTTTGTGCGCATCGTGTCCTGCGCGTTCGCTCGTGTCCCCTCCAGCTAACCATTTCAAGCAGGCAACCACACCAACTCACCGCTTGATGGGGATGTCGAGGTCGGCAATGTAGTGGAGGATGAAGTTGACAAGCTTCTTGTACTCGTCCTCGCCGATGTGCTTGATGAAGCTGGTGGGCTCGAGGGCCTTGCCAAGCTTGTACGCGGTGAGACCGTTCTCGGCGAAGCAGTAGTCGAAGTTGTCGAGGACTGGTGTGAGTGTGCGCCCAATAGAGCCGGAGAATGGAAAGAGAAGGATAGGTGAGAAACGAGGCCCATCGTAGACGCCCGAGTGCAAACAGAAGATAGTTCTGTGATATCACTGCTGCCATCGCGGCAGCAAGCAGAGCCGCAGCGCCAGCGTGGCTCGTACAACGACGCACGCCGCATTCCTTTCCCCGCATCCCTACGCTTCGCTCGCGTCGCGGTGACACCCAACACGGTCACGACTCACTGTTTCCACCGTCGATGCCCAGCTGCTCGACCTGCTTGACGAGGTCACTTCCGCCGACGAACGCGATCGCGCACACATCGCGCAGCGCCTTGAGGTGGGCGATCATGGTGGGGCTGGCCTTGAGGCGGGCCGGGGTGAGGGTGCCGTCCACATCGAACATGCAGATGGTCTTGGGGCGCTGGCGCTCCTCGATGGGCTTGACGCCGGCGGGGTAGAGAGAGGCGGACATGATGAGAGTGAGTTTGTGAGAGTGAGTGAGTGGTGGTGGGAAGAGAGCTTGGATGAAATTGACTTTGGCCAACGCGACGTGTCAGGCGTCATTTCCAGGGCATGCAGAAAGATTAAGGGGGATCCCGCCGGCGCGCGCCGTACCGCACTCATAATGTAATGAGCGGGAAGAGGCGGCGGACTGCTCGCAGAACATGCACCGCAAAGGTCCTCACATGCACAATGCTGAGCCGCGGCTGGCATCTCATCAAAGTTCTGAGCGTGCTGACTCTGGGAGGTCACTGTGGCTCTGCGGTAGTCGGTGTCGCTAACATTTTGTCGCTGACACGTGCCTGGCATGCCTGGTCAATCCTGTTGCCGATCTTGCCACCGACGTGGCAGGCCACGTTTGTCCTCGAACGTCCTTGATGCTTAGTCACGATCAACAGCGCTGACGAGGCCGTCTCTGGTGGCAAACGTGCCGCGTGCATCGTCCTACTCCTCTGAACTGTTACATCTGAATACTTGATGCAATCTGACTGTTTCTCTCCACCCTACTCTCGTGAGGCTGCCATGCCGCGATCGGCCTCCACCTCTGCCCTGGGTGACTTTGAAGGCGCGATTTCTGGCATGCCCTCGTCTATCTCCACCACATCGACATCGTCCACTTCTTGTAACATCGACTCGGACGCATCGCCGGCTGGTCTCCGTCGACGCACCGCATACCCTTCTCCACCGCTCAGCACCTCGAGCCCGAACAGCTCGCCGCCGAGCCCGAGTCCAGGCCCTGGCTCTGAGACATCGAGGTCCGGGAACGACCGGGAGCACTCCCCACAGGACCACCGGGAACACGACAGCTCTTCCTCTTCCACTTCCTCTTCATCACGTACTGGTGACATGCTTTCCGGCGGTGGCATACGCGGCCGCAACGTCGAGGACGTCGGCGACCTCGAGGAGAAGGGCTTGCTGCGGTCCGAGAAGGGCACGCTCCAGAAGGTCGAGGAAGAGAAGTTTGAGCCGGGTCTGAAGAGCAAGCGGGATCAGCAGGCTTTTACGCTGCTGGTGGTGCTATGTGAGTCTGGCTAGCTGGCTACTTGGCCGACTAGAAAGCAAAGAGTTGACGCCAGACCTGTTGCAGGGCGTTCCTCTGGGGTTAACGTTCGGCACGTTGCCATTCCTCCTCAAGCCACGACTCTCGTACTCCAAGCTCGCGGTTTTCGCGCTGTCCACATGGCCGTACTCGCTCAAGCTGCTGTGGAGTCCGATTGTCGACGCCTGGTTCGTGCCCAAGTGGGGCCGGCGCAAGTCGTGGGTTGTTCCAGTGCAGGCCCTTGTCGGTGTCTTGCTCTATCTGCTTGGCCGAAAAGTCGAAGGGTGGCTCGAGGCTGAAGTCATCGATGTGCACTTCATCACGCTCATGTTTGGGAGTCTGATCTTTGCCGCAGCGACGCAGGACATTGCTGTGGACGGATGGGCACTCACATTACTATCCCCGCCGAATCTTAGCTACGCTTCAACGGCCCAGACGATCGGACTGGGCATCGGCTCCGCGCTGAGCTTCACCATCTTCCTCGCGTTCAACTCTGTCGACTTCAGCAACCGCTACTTCCGCTCGACGCCGCTGGACACACCACTGATCTCTCTTGGCGCTTACATGCGCTTCTGGGGCGGCGTGTACCTCGTGGTCACAGCTTGGCTTGTCTACTTCAAGAAGGAGGACGACGTGAACGCGGACGAACCTGACCTCGACGTCGGCAAAGTGTACCGCATCATGTGGAGCATTGTGCGCCTGAAGAGTGAGCCTTCCTCTCGGTTCATGTGCTGACTTCAGACATCCAGAGCTTCCTCTGCATCCTCCTCATCGCCAAATTCGGCTTCCAGGTCAACGAGAGCGTGACGCAGCTCAAGCTCCTCGAGAAAGGCCTGTCGAAGGAGGACCTGGCCGTCGCGGCGCTCCTCGACTTCCCCGCGCAGATGGTAGTCGGTTGGCTTGCGGCCAAGTGGTCGCGCCCCCCGGTCACGGACGAGGGCCGACATCCTCTGAGCGCAGGCAACCAGCGCACGGCGGCCGCGACTTCCGTGCTCAAGGTGTGGATTGGCGCGTTCTGGGCGCGCCTCGGCATGGCCGTCGTCGCTGCCTGCGTGATCTGGCTCTTCCCCGAGTCCGGCGAGGTGGGGACGGGCTACTTTGCCCTGGTGATCGCGACCATCCTCATGACGAGCTTGACGAATACGGTCCAGTTCGTTGGCATCACCGCGTTCCACACCCAGATCGCCGACCCCCTCATCGGCGGCACGTACATGACGCTGCTCAACACCGTGTCCAATCTCGGCGGGACGTGGCCCAAGCCGCTCATCTTGCGCGCCGTGGACCTCCTCACGCACTCCGTGTGCCCCAAAACAGGGAAGGAATGTACGTCCGAGGTCGGCAAGGCTGCGTGCGCCGCCGCAGGCGGGAACTGCGTCATCACGCGCGACGGGTACTTTGTCATGACGGCGCTGTGCGTCGTCTGCAGTGGATTGCTGCTCACCACCCACATCTTGCCGACGATCAAGCGGCTCATGGCGCTGCCGATGAGTGCGTGGCGCGTCAAGATCCCCGCATAGAGAGGCACACGATCTGTAGGAGAGGTATGTAGAAGACTGATGCTCTGCTTGGGCTTCAGGACTGGATGCATTGTTTGACCATGCGGTCTTGGGACATGACTGTCCCATGCCACTGACGAACTACGGCCACTCAGGCATCCCTCCCCTTGCGCTGTCGTTACAGGATTACAGTGTAGCATTACAATCGTGAACAGGCACCTAGAGCGCAGTCCCGCGCTCGAGGTTGGCGCGGATGTCGCCGGTGTACTTGTCGAAGAACTTTGCGACCTTGGAGTTGAACACCTTGTTCGCCCTGTTGATGTACGTGACGTCGCCGCTCTCGTCGCGCTTCTTGCGCTTGCGCCCGGTACCCGCCAGACTGGGGTCAGCTCGCGCGCGTCCTCCACGCACTCCTTGTTGATCTTGCCGACGACGCGGTCGACGGCGTCCTCGCTCGGCTTGCTGTCGCCGTACGCGAGCGTGTCCGCGGAGCGGTACAAGTCCTCTGCGGCGCTGAGCGCCGCGTTGCGGCTGGGCCCGGCGGCGGCCATGTCGTTCGTGAGGCCGAGGGGCACGAGCGAGCCAGGCTCGAGGCCCATCGCGGCCTCCTTCTGCCGCGCATAGCCCACGAGGTCGGGCTTGCTCGTGCGCACATTCTTCTCGTATTTCCTATGCGCTTCGTCGTTGGCATCTGGCGTCAGCGAGGCGTCCGATGCCGCGGCTCACGGTTAAAAGTGTGGTCGCGGCGCTCGCGCGTCTCGGCCTGCTTCTGCTCCCAGCGCTCGTTCTGCTCGATGCTCCACTCCCACGCCTTGCGGCGCTCCAAGTCTTCGCCGTTCGCCTCGGCGTCCGCCTTGAGCCGCAGCGTCTTGGCGAGCTTGCGCTGCTTCTCGAGCCGCGCGAGCTCGCGCGCCGTCACCTTGGACTTCTGGTGGTCTTCGACCAAGTCGCGCCGGTTCGCGGCCGCACTCTCGTTCTGCCGTCAGCCCGCTCGCAGAGATCACGCACCAATCGCATCCGCAGCTCTTTGAGCTTGGCCATCCGCTCCTCGCGCGACGGCTTTGGCGCCTGCCCTTTCGTACCCTCCTCCGCCTCCGCCTCCTCCGCCTCCTCCGCCTCCTCCGCCTCCTCCGCTCCAGCCTCTTCACCCTCCTCCTCCTCCTCCTCCTCCTCCTCGAGAACGGTAGGCTGCGTCGCGACGGCGGCCTCGTCCCGCTCCTCCGCCGTTCTGCTGCGGCTCGCGCGCGTCGCGCGCGCCGGCGACGGCGACGGCGCAGAGCTCTTCACGTCGCGCGACTTGCGGGGCATGTTTGTCTCGGTGTGTGGCCGAGAGTCGGCGGGTCAAGTCGAGGCGGATAAAGTCGAGAGCGACAAGATGAGATATGTGAGAAGAGGGGTTGTGCAAATGGATGAATGGGTGGCGACGGGGGCAATGCCACGTGGGTGGAGGTATGGCAGGTGGAATCTCACGAGTCTAGCAATGGGACGGGATGCACGCCGGTACGCCGGACAGACACGTACGGGTGCGCCCTTCGGTGGCCGGCAGGCTGTGGCACACTCGTCAGCGACTCGCAAATCCGTCCATTGAGAATGGGCAGGTCGGCAGTCGGACATTGATCTGGGCGCCGCGGCCTCGTGCAGCGTCCGCCCAGAAGGCAAGGGTACAGAAATGCCTTTTGCTGAGGCCAAAGTGAATGATAGGCTAATAGTGAATGGAGGCCGCCGTAGTAGGCCGTCTCCCCCTCGTCACCTGTCAGCTCGCAGTACACTCCTCTTCGCTGCCCCCCCGCCGGTGCTACCACGGACGCGTTCATACGGACCGGACTAAAAGCAGCAGGCTATTGGTACTGGTGCTGCTGGTAGAACTGCTGCTGCTGCTGCTGCTGCTGCTGCTGCTGTTGCTGCTGCTGCTGCATCTGCATCTGCGCTGCAGCCTGCGCCTGCGCCTGCGCCTGGGCAGCCACCTGGGCCTGAGCCGCGGCCACCTGGGCCTGCATGTTGGGGTCTGGCGTAAGCGCTCGTCACGGACACGCGTACCGTAATAAGCCTGCTGCTGGGCGGCAGCTTGCTGCGCCATCATCATGTACTGCTGCTGCTGTTGCTGCTGCTGCTGGCGCGCGTGCTGCTGCGCTTGCGCGGCTTGCGCGGCCTGGGCTTGAGCCTGCGCCTGCGCTTGCGCCTGAGCCTGAGCTTGTTGCGCCTGCTGGGCTTGGACCGCGGCAGACGCTTGGCTAGCACGAGCAGCGACGCGGGGGGGCAGCGCAAGACTTGCCGTCGAGCTGCTTACACTGGGGCTGAGCGTTGCGGGCGTGATGGGGCCAGAGGTGAAGTACGGGTGCCCGAGGGCATCGATCGCGGTGTATCGACGGTTCGGCTCAAACTGCAGCAGGTGCTCGAGAAGCGCAATGGCGTCGCGTGGAGCTTTGGGCACGATGGCGTGCAGCGGCTGCTTCGGGTGCTTGGAAAGAGGCTGCTTGAGCGTGATTTCCGGCGAGTTCATCTTGATCTGCTGCAGAGTCGCGTCTGAGGGCGTACCGACGATCTTCATGATTTGGACGAGCTGGTCGTTGTTGTCGCGCCCGCGGAACAGAGGGTAGCCGGTAATCATCTCGGCGAAGATGCAGCCGACGGACCAGATGTCAATTGACGTCGAGTATGTGCGCGAGCCCAAAAGCACGTCCGGTGCGCGGTACCAGAGAGTGACGACCTGGTGTCAGTGGGCCGAGCCAGGGCACTGGGGCAGCCACCGAGTGAATGGGGATTCCGACAAAGACAGGGCGAACGCACCTCATTTGAGAACGTGTTCACTGGGACACCAAACGCGCGCGCAAGACCAAAGTCACCGATTTTGAGCTCGCCGCGACGGTTGATCAGGAGGTTCTGCGGCTTGAGGTCGCGGTGGAGTACGCGGTTTGCATGACAGAAGGAGATGCCCTGTGGTTAGTGGCAAGAAGCGCATGCCACGCACCTGGAGGAGCTGGAATGTAAAGTTCTTGACAGTGTTGAGGGGCAGCGCACCGCGATCGCCGTGCGTGTCCATGTATCGTTTCAGATCCTGCTCGCAGAACTGTGGTTAGCTGGAACCGGGAGGTAGACGCACCTCGAAGATGAGAACAAGCTTGGATTCGGTGTGTATGACATCGTGCAAGCGGACAATGTTGACATGCTTGAGCTCTGGGTGTTAGTGGGTTGGTCAGGTGGTTCGGTATCGGTGGGGCTGCTCGTGTCTAGGCCACTCTCCCAAGCCGTCCCCTACTGCTCCGGCGTCCTCGAGACCAAGCCACTCGTCCTTTCCACTCTTCCGCTCTCGCCCACCGTCGTCCTCCCCTTCCCTCCCTCCCTCCTCCCTCCACCTCTCCCCCTCCCCCCTCTCCCACACTCACCCTTCATCAAACTAATCTCGCGAATCGCCGTACTCGGCGTGCCCTCCTCAGCATCCAAATGAATCTCCTTGAGCGCGACGATCTCCGACGTTGTCCGTGACCGGCCCTGCCATCAGTCCTCCTCCCTTCCCTCGCCGCCACAACACACCTTGTACACCGTCGCATACGTCCCCTCGCCGAGCTTCTCGAGCTGCACGTAGTTCCTGGGGTGAGCGTGCGTGACGTTCGCGGCCTCGTGAGACGTACATGATGGCTGGGAGGATGGGGAGGAGTGAAGATGGATGGATGGGTGGGATAGGGATGCGCGCTGGGCGCTGCGGAAGCGGAGCGAACGAGCGGACGGTCGGAGGTGGAGGGTCGGAGGTGGAGGGTCGGAGGGGAGGGTCGGGGTGGGCGTGCGAACGAGACTGCCGCGCGGCGGGGGGAGCGCGAGAATGGAGAGGATGGGAGTTGGAGTAACTGGAGGATCTGGATTGAGTTGAGTGACGGGAGGTGTGGCGCATCATCTGCCTCCGTCACCTCCACCACCGGTCACGATAGGCAGTGGTGCAATACATCGAGCAACGTCGTTCGTCTAATCCTTGTCTGAGCATACGTCTACACGTCTATGAGGCTGCCCCGATTCTTGACATGATACATGGCCATGACCGGTGCGATGCTGGCACGTCGATACGTCGATACGTCGAGAGTGGTACCAAGGCACCCCGATCACCCACGTGCGCTAGCTGGACATGGAGATGGAGATTTCCTCATCGTCCTGGCCATCATCGTGTCCAGCGGCGCGGGGTACGTTGCGGCCGTGCTTCGCATATACACTACTATGTGCAGTCTGGGATTGGGCTTGCAGCTGCTTTAGCTGTATAGCAGCGTCAACGAGAACGGCGCAGAGACTTCCGGCGGAATTCCACCGTGTTTACACAAATAACTCCTACCGGCATCTAGCTCTAGCTGTCTATGATACAATCTGCCCGCTTCTCTGATCTTCTCTCGTCGTAGCTGCCCCCAGTATACACTAATACTGTGTTCCCCGTCCACGCAAAGGAACGTTACGCAGTCCGCTGATCACATCACCTCTCACAGCGCCCACTGCTCACGACTCTACCGCCCGCCCAAGTCGCGCTCGGGGGTAGGATAGTATGACGGCGGATGCGATCCCGCGATGGACTGTTGCGTCGAGTGCGCTTCAGATGCGGCGAGCAGCGTCGAGAACGAGGCAAAGTGGTCGTCGCGGCCGCGAGACGAGGGTCGGCTCGCGGGCATCGAGCCGGGCATCGGCGCCATGTGGCCGTTTGAGCGCGACGAATCGCTGGGCGACGTGGTGGTGCTTCTCTGGCTCGCGTGTGAGGGATCGAAAGCGATAAAGGCCGGATTCGTCGGATCGCCTGGTGGGGGTTGGGGGAGGTGTGGCGTGAGGCAGGGATATCGGAACGGCGTGAGGCCATATGGATATGGCAGTTGTTGGCGAGGCTGGGGTGTCAGTGAGATCTCGTGAGCATTGAAGCGAGAAGATGTTCTCTAAGGAATGCTTTCGCGAACGGTCGCGCCAAACATTGCAGCGTTTGATTTGAGGCGGTTGAAACGTGAAACAAGACATACTGGGTTGGGCTGGAATGTCGCCGCAGCGGCTGCGAGGTTGTCGATGCCGCCAAGAGTGGGTGAGTGCAACGACGATGAGGGGCCACCTGTTCCTTGAGGAGGAGCTGAGGTGGGAGAAAGATTGGGAGATCCTGCAGCTAGGGCAGCTGTCCAGTTGTTGACGCGGGGTGGAGCAGGAGCATGGCCACCGCCGCCGCCGCCGGCATGACTGGAAGGAGAGCGATGCCGAGAGCGTTTCTGTCAGAGATTACAATAACAATATCATTGTCAGCATGGCGAGACAGAAGCGTGGGATGAAGCAACGGGGGAAAGAGACGGTGGGATGGGTTAAAAGTTAGGAGGGAGGTTTGGAATTTCTTTGGGCCTGACGCACGCGGGGTAGAGGCACCCGCGCACCGTTACTCCTTTCACAGATGCGTACTTGTAGACTTACAGCGCTGTCTCGTGGCGTCCACTGATACTTGTTCTCCTCTTCGCCTCTAGAGGGTTCAAGATCGGGAGCGGAAAGGGCCTTGTCACTGCTGGGCGACGTGGCGGAATGAAGTTGCTGAGCTGCTGAAAGGAGAGCGGCAGCCGACCTGCGAGTGACCCTTCCTCTGTCTTGAGGTATTGGGACTGGGGAAGCGTTTGCAGCTCGTATCTTGCGCTTGACGCCTGCTGCTGGTGGAGGAGGGGGGAGGTCGCGTAGTGCTGGGTCGATTGTTGCGTCGTAAGAGCTCATGGTGGGAGGGATTGTGGTGGATGGAGGTGGAAAGATGGAACAGTAGAATGCGGGGTTGGGAGATGGAGATGGAGGATGAGTGCGGGGGTGGGGCCACGGAATGAGTAGCGTGGCAACGTACGGGCGGTTGAGGCCGCCACCACTGGGGAAAGGAGTGGAGGGCTGTGTTGTGATTGGTTTCTTGGCCTTGTGGCTTTCCACTGCAGCGGCATTACCACTAACCCCGGCAAGGGAGACACGATGTGGCGTTTATCCTCGTTAGAGTTCGCGCCTGATTTTTAAAATGGTCTTCAGGGCGACCCCGGGGGGTAACCATGATGGTGACCCTGGATACTGATGGGTAAGACCCTGAGGATATGAGGGGGCGCTGATCCAACGAGCAGGTTTGGAGGATGATAGAATGAGGACGGAAATACGGATATCAGGGAATGCAGGGTGAGTAACGTTGAAGCGTAATGACCAAAGGAGGGGAAGTAAGTAACATCTAAGGGTTTAAGTAGGGTCCAAGTGGGATCATCCGGACCGACCTGTGGTTCTTTCATGTCGCCCATCTCATGGATCATCATGCTTCCCCTCTCATCTTCCCCTGGCGCTTCCTGTTTCCCCCCGTCCCCCCTGTTGCCACGCGAGCAACACGCCATGCCCCATGCCGGCGGCGGCGGAGGCGGCAGTTTTGAAATGGGAAGCCTTGGGCATCTTAAGGTTTGCTCTCCGGATGCTGCTGCGGAACACTACAGCAGCATTTCCATTCTCGTCTGCCTGCATTCAAGTTGGCAGGCGCAGCAGCGTCTGTGATGAATAGGCTGGTGTCTCTCATTCTCATGCCAAGTGTGTATTTCCAACAGCCAACAGATGGTTAGAGGATGGACAAGGACGAGGTTTTTTTTGAGTTATGGCGAGAGTGACGGGTGGCCCGGGTGGATGATCCCTGAATTCAGGGAGGACAATCCAGTTGCAAAGGGCGTGCGAGTCGGTACGTTGGCATAAGGCCTGAGGACTGAGGGGGTTAACAGGGATGAGAGGTACACATCACCCAGTCAGGGTTTCAGGCACCCACCAAACAACAACAACCCCTCATCTCACTCTCACATTCCTGGCGACGTCAATCCGCCAATTGGAATCCTCCCTCCCTCCCTCCTCCTCCCTCCCCCTCAGCGTAGGTAATTGAGACTGAATAGGATTGAATAGGATTGAATACAAACCGTACACCCACACACACACACACAACCAACACTCGACCAAGTCAACAAACACAACATCCCCCCCCCTCCTCATCCATCCTCCATCCTTCATCATCCCATCCTCCAACCACTCACTCGTCTACATATTTCACTCTCTCACTCTCCTCATCTCTTCCATCCATCTACTCTGTGCTCTGCTTCACTTGCTCTGCATCTCCCTCCTCTCCACCACACACCCCCTACCCCAAATCCAACCCCCATCGCTCGCTGCTGTCACTTCTCCCAAACACGGCGCCCCCGCCCCCCCGCCCCCCATTCCCTCCTGGCAATTTGTCTACAAACAACCACAATCCATCCTCCTCCTCCTCCTCCTCCTCTTCCTCATCTTCATCCTCCTCCTGCCCCTCCTCCTGCCCCTCCTCCTGCTCGTCCTCCCTCGTCCTCGTCCTCCCCCTCCTCTCCCTCCTACCCACCTCCATCGCCCAAAGCACTTGCATCTTGTGCTACCGCCTTGCATCATAGTCCATCCTCTCATCCATCGCAGCGCCGACTGCAAATCCTTGCTGCATAGTATTTACATTCAATAATCTCCGTGCGGAACGGTGAGTCTCTCCCCAGACCCCCCCCCCCCCCCCCCCCCCCCCCCCCCCCCCCCCTTGGCCCTCCCGTCCCGCCGTTTCATCCCATGCCCATGTTTTCTTCTTCCACGCCATAACAACTCCGTGCTGACAATGCTTCAGTCCTCCACAATGGACGCCGCCGAACCTCACGTCGTTTCGGTAGATGGCTTTCACGAGTTCACCCACTTTGACCAGAACTCGTTCGCTTTCTCCTCTCGGGCCGAAGCGATCGACGACAACTCTGGCCACAACAGCCATGTCCCATCCGAAACCGGATCGCCACCCATTCGCAATCATCATTCCGCGACCCCGGCCGGTCCTACACTTAATCCCGGCTTTGACTGGGCCTTTGCCTTTCCTGATGGCATCAGCAACTCGTCCTCATGCGACCAGTCACTCTCCACTCCACTCCTCCCACCACAGGGCCTCGTCGAGCCCGCCGATATCAGCGCTCTGGGCTTTCTCGACCCTACCGAGCTCAATGGCGTCTCACCCTCCTCCTCCTCCGCCCCTGTCATGTCCCGAGACATGACTCAAGCCAATTTCTTCGAGGCGTTCAAGAATGCACCTCAGCCGCCCATCATGGGTCAAAGTGCTAAACGCAAACGTAAGAGCTCCCTTCCGCTCGGCTGCGTCACTGGCGAGGAGCAGCAGCAGGCTTCAACATCCCGGCTTGTACAGCGCTCGATCTCTATCGGCTCGATGGCCGAGTTTCAGCAGGCACATTCCACAAATCAGCTCAGCCTAGTAGAGCTCGATGGCATTCATCAACATCAGCAGCAGCAGCAGCAGCTGTCGCAGCCGCAGCCGCATCACCACCACACGATGAAGAGGCAGCGTACATCGAGTTCGACAAACTCGCCGTGCCTGGCTGACGGTTCCCCTGTCGATGGTCTCACCAGGACGTTTGTTCAGCAGCAGCACCAACCCCTTGGACCTCAAACTCAAGGCCCGGCCATGCCGGCCACGGCGATCCCGCCTGCAACTCGTGCCGCCGACCGATCCTTCCTCGCGACAATCCCGGAAGGGCCAAGCGCAACCCCAATGGATCTCACCTGGTCATCACAGACCATTCAAGATGGAAACGCGCATCCTTCTTACATGTTCGACTGCAACGCCGACATGACCGCTACATACACCATGCCCGCCCCACCTGCGGCCCCCCAGCTGCCCTCGCCAGCAGTACACTCCAATCACATGATGCCTTCGCCGGCCGTCACCACCTCGCCGATGCTGCACTCCCCAGCCGGCATGGTTCTCACTCCCTCCTTGCCCATGCCGCCCACGGTTCCAAGGGCTTCCCACCAGCACGCTAGAGCCGCCTCCATGTCGGGCGTGCCCACCTTTTTCGATATCAAGCAGCAAGAGCACGCTCTGCACCCACCTCTTCCCCAAATGGAGGCGTATTCGCAGCAAATTCCAAGCGCTGTGACCAGTGCCATGGCCAGTGCCATGGTGGGCGTCACTCAGCCGCCGGTCGGGATCGGCCGACCTACTCACACGCCGGCACATCTCCGTCGGTTATCCGACACGGCGGTCTCACTCGCGACATATCAGCCCAACATGGGCGGTTTCCTGCGCTCCACGAGTGTTCCCCAACCGCGCTCGCAAGGTCTCCATCACGGTGGGGCGGCTTTCCGTCACAACGGGACACAGATGTATGGTGGCATGAGCGGCATGACTGGGTACGAACAGCCCAACCTCGGTCCACCTCCGGTGACGTACAGTGCCACTGGCATCCCCGCCCAGTTCACGTACATGCAACACCAGCCGATGATGGGTGGTGGATACGTCCAATCGACAATGCCGGTCTCACCCCCCCGGAAGCGCCCTGTGGCACGGCGGCAGCGCGTCGGGCAGCCCTTGAAGCCTGGCCCTAAGGGGAAGAAGGCACCGAAGATGCCGTCCCCGGTGCCTCCGGCCCTGGCTCCCGCGCCCGATGGTGCCACGCTTGACCCCATCATGTACGGCGCTCACAACGGCGAGGGTATGGCGGCCGCCTACAACGGCCAGATCAAGGCTAGTGAGCGACTCATGGAGCCCGTCTCGGTCGACGAGTTCCGCTCGGCATTCACCATTACCCAGCAGGGCAACCTCGTCATCAAATCGACCAACGACATGGACCAGCTTGTCGAGCGTCTCCTCGAGATGCACTTTAGCGGCAACACGACCATTGTCGACCAGTGCTTCCGCGAGTGTTACCAGGAGACATGCGAATGGAACGAGGCCGCCCAGAAGAGAACAAAGTACTTCAAGTGCCGCTTCGAGGAGTGCAGGGACCACCCGTTCCCTCGCAAGTCAGCCATTGACAGCCACGTCAAGACCCACGTTGGCTTCCGTGAATTCCGGTGCACTCAGGATCCCGAGTGGTGAGTGGATGAGTGGACGGATGCCAAAGGGTTGCAGCTGACAGACAGCACCATCAGCTTTGTGCGCAAGCACGACCGAGACCGGCACCACCTCACGCACCGCGAGAGCAAGACGTTCAAGTGCGCCCAGTGCGGCGAGGACTTTGCGCGCAGCGACGCGCTGCTGCGCCACGGCGCCAAAGTTGGCGCCTGCAAAGCCCGCATGGTCCTTGGCATGTAAGCCACCCACCCTCACCCTCTCCGACCGACCATCATATCTCGGCGGTCGTAATCAACATATTCGGTATATTTCGGCGACGAGCAAGTTATCCACAACCCATTGCCCCAGCCGCCGGCGACGCATCATCAGAGCGAGCAGCCAGAACCAACACGGACTCTTCCCGGACATTTGTATTACTATATTGTAGTGGTTAGCACATGCATCAATAGCGCCCATCTGTCCGTGCACCTTGTCCTTCGGTCCTGTTCCCGGATCTTCGCCGCTGACGTGTTCCCGACTTGGCGCAGTCGCACACAGTCGCCAGTCACCCGCACCCGCATCCCGGAATGTAGCGTACCTCGTTTCCAGTTCCTCTTACGCTACGTCCCGCGGCGACGTGGGACAGCGTGCGCCGACGCGGGCGTGACTGCCGGCATGCCGTTTCAGCTGTTCCCGGGAGGCACGCGCCGTAATCCACGCGCGGCAGCGGCAGCGGCAGCGGCAACGGATCGTCTCATGCGTGCAGCGTGCGTCATTGACGCTCGCTCACGTGTGCCACGATCACGTGTCTTGAGGTGCGGAGTGCCAACGCACTCCGCCGCATCACGTGCGCGTAGAGTGGAGGTGGCCAAAAGTTGACATGACATCTCCACAAGCACCACCACTATGGCTACGGACAAGAAGGGACTCGTGGCGCTCGCGAAGGCCGCGAAGGCGCGCCAAGCGGCGCGGCGGCATGCGGCCAAGCTCCGCGCTGCGGCGAGCGCGGATACGACCGAGGACCAAGTCGAGCTCGCGCTGCTCGACACGCCGCCGAGGGCGACGGCGAAGCAGGCCCAGCTGAACAGCAAGAGCAGGGGCAAAGACAAGAGCACGAGCAAGAGCAAGAAGCGCAGGGCGGAGGACGACGCGCAGCCCAAGAAACGGCTGCGCGCCGACCAGCTTGCGTGGCGCAAAGTCAATACGTCGAGTCTGCCGGGCATGGATGCGGGCGGGGGCATGATGATGCTGGAAGAGCTCGAGGATGTCGGGGTCGAATGGGAGGAGGGGCCGGACGGCGGGCGCACGGCGCGGTTTGTGGTGAGTTCTGCGAGCGTCAGTGGTGCTGATTGTAGACGAAGGCGAAGGGGAAGGAGAGGGCGGAGGCGGAGGCGGAGGATGAGGATGAGGAGGGGGGCGAGGAGGAGGAGCAGAACGACGACGAGGATCAAGAGGTCCAGGAGGAACAATCCGACAGCGACGAGGACCAACCAGACGAACTCGACACGCTCACATTCGAAGGACTGGACGAGGCCGACCTCAACAACGCCGACGACAACGTCGTGGACGAGGAGCCGGCGTTCAACGACAAGAAGCTCCCGGCGTGGAAGGGCGTCGACCTCCACTCGAGCCTCAAGCAGGGCCTGCTATCGCTGGGATTCAAGACGCCCACGGACATCCAGAAGCGTGCCGTCCCCTTCGCGCTCGAGGGCCGCGACGTCGTCGGCGTCGCTGAGACAGGCTCGGGCAAGACGCTGGCGTACGCGCTGCCCGTGCTCTCGCACGTGCTCCGCCAGCCGCGGACGTCGGGCAAGCGGCCGCTCTCGGCGCTCATCCTTTGCCCCACGCGCGAGCTCGCGCTGCAAGTGTCTGAGAATCTTAGCGCGCTGCTCGCCAAGGCGTGCCCGAGCGAGAAGGGCAAGCCGCCGCGCGTGTCCGTGGGCAGCGTTATCGGCGGCCTGTCCGCGCACAAGCAAGCGCGCATCGTCGAGCGCGGCGCCGACGTGCTCGTCGCCACCCCCGGCCGTCTATGGGACCTGTTGAAGATGAACGACGCGTTGGCGGCGAGCGTGCGCGCCCTCAAGTTCCTCATCATCGACGAGGCGGACCGCATGATTGAGACGGGACACTTTGCCGAGCTCGAGAGGATCGTCAAGCTCACCCAGCGGGAAGGGAGCAACGCCGAGGCCGTCGACGAGGACGAGGACGAGATCTTCAAGGCTGCCGGCACGCAGCTCACCGCGACCAAGGCGCGTGACGACATGCAGACGTTCGTCTTCTCCGCCACGCTCAGCAAGGACCTCCAGGCCAACTTGAAGCGCTACAAGCGGCGGGGGAGGAAGCGCTCCTCGACGCTCGAGGATCTCGTGGAGCGCCTCGACTTCCGCGACGCCAACCCCGCGGTCATCGACCTCTCTCCCGAGGGCGGTCTGGTCGCGACGCTGCGCGAAGCGCAGATCGAGTGTGTCGCATCCGACAAAGACCTCTACCTGTACTACATGCTCCTGCGGTATCCCGGGCGCACGCTCGTCTTCACGGGCTCGATCGACGGCATCCGCCGCCTCATCCCGCTCTTCCAGACGCTCCGCGTCCCCGTCCACCCCCTCCACTCGCAGCTGCAGCAGAAGCAGCGCCTGCGCAACCTCGACCGCTTCCGGTCCGAGCCGAACTCGGTGCTCATCGCGACCGACGTCGCGGCCCGTGGCCTCGACATCCCCCACGTCGACCACGTCGTGCACTTCAACCTCCCGCGCAGCGCCGATGCCTACGTCCACCGCTCGGGCCGTACGGCGCGCGCGCAAAACCCGGGCTTTGCGCTCCAACTCGTCGCGCCAGAAGACCGCGGCGTGCAGCGCGGCCTACTCAAAGCGCTCGGCCGCACCGCCCCGCCGCCCGACATGCCCATCGAAGGCGGCTTTTTGCGCACGCTCAAAGAGCGTGTGCGGATAGCTGGCGAGCTCGAAAAGGCGCAGCACGCAAGCAAGAAGAAGGCGCACGACAAGAACTGGCTCCTCGAGGCGGCCGAGGCGATGGACGTTGACATCGACCCGTCCATGTGAGGCGCGAGTGTAGAATACCACTGACGCCAGGCTCTCTGACCTCGAAGACGACCCCGACCGGCCGTTCTCGCACGCCAAGGCTAGCAAGGTCGACAAGCTCAAGGCCGAGCTGGCCGAGCTGCTCGCGCAGCCGCTCGTCGCGCGCGGCGTGTCCGCGCGATACCCGACTTCGGGGTCGCGCGTGATTGTCGACGACGTGCTGCGCGGCGACGCGCACGGCGTCATGCTTGGCGCGAGCACCGAAGCCGCGTTCGAGGTCGCGGACACGGTTGCGCTCAAGAAGGGCGGCAAGGGCACGAAGAAGTTCGACCGGAAGAAGGCGGACAAGGGCGAGGTCATGCGCGGCCGGCAGGAGCGCAAGGACGCCAAGAAGCGTGCCAAGGGCAAGGACAAGAAGCGGCGGGACGAGGACGACGAGGGCGACGAGGAGGACGAGTGAGCGGGAGAGCATGCATGTTGGGTGTTTACATCGAGCAGAGTGCATGGGACAGCGAAGACGGGCGCAACGGGACTGTCCTCGGCTTACATTGTCACTGACGGTCACCGCCATGCGCTACTGCCACTGCTCCGTTAATGTCGGCCATACGCACTCATTCCATGATGCCGGCATGGCTATCATGTCATGAAACTGCGCGAGGGCCTGGCCCTCGCAAGGTGAGACCTACTCTCGACCTCGCGTCACAAGTCGGAGAAATCAGTCGCGTCGCGGCGCGGGTCACGCCCGTCCCCGTGTCATGAAACGCGACGACAGAAGCCGATCACGAGAGGCTGGAGCATGGATCGGTTGGGTTTGGATCTGGTGTGCCTGGCTCAAGGTCTGGCTCAGAATAGCTGCGAATAATGTTTGAGGGTATGGGGAAAACATGGTGGGAGCCAGACTTCGAGAGGGGGAGAGGGGGAGGAGGTTCAGCAGCTGTAGACGCCCATTATGCTCATTGTCATGACATTCGTCAGCCCGCACCATACCAACTCAGCGCAGGATGATGATTTCATTGATACAGTTATAGTCCGATGGCGTAGATTTAGTAGAGGGATTGTCGAGAAGTGGCAGCCATACCATCCACTAGTGCACGGCGCGGCCATGGCCAACATTCTTTGCCAACCCCATCTTGCGTAGGTTGGTGCAAGTGGCAATGACGACGACGATCCACGCCCAGGCGGTGCACATGCCAAATGCGTGCTGGATGCCCGTGAGGAACGAGCCCTTCTGCTCCGCGACGTTAGACACGACAAGCGACGAGATGCAGATACCGAGGGCCGAGGCGATCTGCGTGGCCGTCTGGAACAGCGCGCCGCCGACGCTCTGCTCGCCGTCCTCGCAGAGGTTGGACATGAGGATGGACCCGATGCCGACGGTCAAGTCGGCGCCGAAGGGGAGGCAGAGCATGGCGACGAACTGGCCGGACCAGTACGGCGCGTCGGCAGGCACGGCGGCGAAGATGATGCACGCGACGCCTGAGAGGAAGCCGCCGATCATGAGGACGTATGGTGCGCGCATGCGCGGCACGATGAACATGACCGCGACGGCGGCGAAGATGCCGCAGATGCTCGCGGGCAGCGAGTGGATCGCGTTCCCCAGCGGGCTCATGTGCATGTACTCTTGGTAGAAGAGGGAGACGAGGTAGACCCAGCCCGCGATGGCGACGAACGGGCAAAACGCCGTGAGGAGAATGTAGGTCATGCTCCAGCCGTCGCGGGTGAACATGGACAGTTTGGCCACGGGCGGGAGGGTCGTGTTGCGCTCGACGTGGCGCTCCCAGAACCCAAAGGCGACAAAGAGAACGACCGAGACGGCGAGGAGGGCGGGGACGTACGGCGTGCGCCAGCCGGCGGGGGCAACGCCGCTCGCTGTGATGGAGAACGTGAAGAGGCAGAGGGCGGCAGTGATGAGCACGCCGCCGAGCCAGTCGACGCGCCGATCTGGCGGCGGGAGGTGGGCGGGCCGCTTGGGGTCGGCGGGGATGGCCCATATCCCGAGGCCCAAAGGGAGGACGCACAGGCCCGCCAGCACAAAGTAGAGGTGCTGCCAGCCCTGGCGGGATGCGCCGGAAACCGCGCCGCCGACGAGCATGCCGACGCTCGCGCCCACGGGGTTGCCGAGGCCGAAACACGAGAAGGCGATGGTGCGCTCCGGTTCCTCGCGGAACGTGACGCCGAGGATGCCGAAGCCGGCCGGGGTGGCAACGGCGAGGCCGAGGCCCGAGATGGCGCGAACGATGCAGAGGGCCATGAGGTTGGGCATGAAGCCTGAAATCACGCAAAACACGAGCGTGCACGTCAGGCCGCCTAGGAAAAGATACTTGCGCCCGTAGATGTCGGCCATGCGTCCGGCGAAGAGCAGACCGCACCCGAAGGCGAGCGAGTACGCCGACGACACCCATTGCGCCTCGACTTGTCCTACACCGAGGTCGGCCGCCAGCGAGGGGATGGTGAGGATCACGGCGTTGCTGCTCATCGACTACCATCAGCGAGACCGAGATCCTACACGCACCGAGATGAGGACCGTCAGCATCATTGAGGTGCCGAGAAGAATCCTGCGGGTACGCGACATGCTCTGGCAAGCCGCTGCGGCCTCCGCCCGGCACTGCGCCTCGGCGTCCTCAGAGTCCGAGAACTTGGCGCCATCGCCGCTGGAACGGGCCACCGATAAGCGCGAGTCACGCGACTTCGTCTTGCCCAGCGTCGCCTCATCGTCCGAGACCTCATGCGCGAGCGTCTTCTCGGAATCTATGCGCGGGAGGTCTGACTTGGCTGAGCGGCGCGCGAGGTCATGCTCAACCACAGTGTCCGGGAACGAAACACGGGACGTGGATGCGCGGCGGTGGGACGGGCGGCGCGCACCGGCCGAGCGTACGGTGGAGACGGAGCCGGTGCGTGAGCGGGGTGCGTACAGAGCCACAGGACCCGCCGCGGCCTCAACTGACACATGGCGGCAGAGCTCCGTGATCATTTCGCCGATCTGCGATTGCTCCTGCTGCTCCTTCTCTCCTCTGAGCTTGACGACAAGGTCATCGGCGCGAGCCTTCTCATTTCTCTCGTCCTCGATCGCCTCGTCGTCTGCTGTTTCGGCGGGAAGACGACGGAAGCGTGTAAGCGGCGAGTCGAGTGGGCGCTGGCTTGCATGCGGTGACGTGGTGGAACCGTGCCGCACGGAGGAGCCGCGGGGAATTTGGATCGAGCCGTTGTCCATGATGTTTACCTCGAGCTCGGTGTCGGAGTCGGCGCAACGGTAGTCCGCGGAAGGGGCAGAAGCGGTGGCGGGGGTCGTGGAACGGCTCTCGACGAACACGGCGGGGAGGGACGCAGTGGCCGGGGCAGCGCTTAGAGAAGTGAGAGCCAAGGCCTGAAGGACGGTAAGAGACCGGCTAGAGGGAGCGCCGGTTGAGGAGCTGGAGCGGGAGTTGGTTTCACTCTGGGCGGTTTTGAATGATGGGGTGGTGTTGCCGTTGACTGGCTGGACGTGTGAGTTCTCACTCATGGTGCTCGCATTCGCTGGCGTGATCACCTACCTCAGAGCTGCTTTATACCACGCTCAACGGAAGCGCTGCCGGCTCCACAGGCCGGTATTGAGTACCACAAAGTCCAGACTGTTCTTCGGCGGCAATAAACGCTTGTCTCGTTGTCACGGGTACCCTCACAGTGGCTTAGCAAGCGTTAATGGGAATGAGTACTATAAGCGGACAGCAGCGTCTGACGTCGCGATATGAGGAGGCCGAGTCAGTCGGCATGTTACCATTTACCAGGTATGCCAGCGCTACAATTTTACTGATCGGCGCGTCTCCGTGTCCAGGCCTGCTTCTGCGAGCTAGGAGGCAGTAAGTTGCGGGTCCAGGCGGTGTCGAGATGAGGAAGATCAGGGAGGTTTTTGACCGAGAGCAGGGGTGTCCGGAAAGATGTACGGCAATTGCGGTATCTGCAGGTCGAGCTGGCGCCGTCCTGTTGGTCCTGTTGGTAGAGGGAAAAGCGCCGTAACGAGTTTTGCAGGCGGCGCAGAATAAATCGACCGAATCGGCGAGTTTGGATGAATCTCGGATCAGGGGGGTTTCTGGCGGTCTTAACGAAGACCTGTCCTCACGTGTGCAATTCCAGTGGTCTTGCGATGCAGGTAGAGCAGGTACGCAGACCAAGCGTCGCGCGAGTTTGTTTGCACACGCGCTCGGAGTGCATCCGGTGGCAATGACAGATGGAGTGGTTTGGGTGAAGTTGTGGACAGCGCTGTGGGGTAGTGGTCCCTGAAAGGGACTGACAGCGTATGACATTCCGACTTTGGCAGACACCGTGTCCCAATTTCCCCGATACTCTGCTTTATCTTCAACCCTCGCCCAAGCCTCGGCGGGACATTAAACGCGGCGGGAACGTGCTGTTCGTGTATTATTCTACAGAACTAGGCTGGACGAGGGCGCGCCGAGCTCGGGAACACGGACAGCGGCGGCCTCGAAAATCACGAAGCCGAAAACTCCACCGAGGCTCTGAACGGCGCCGCCGCTCACAGCGCTGTTCACCAAATACTCACCAATACCACTGAAAACGCCAGTGCCAGTCGGTCGCCCTGTCACGGTCACTCTCAAAGATTCGTTGTGACTACGTTGCGGCAACGAACATGCATCCAAGGCTTAACATCTCGACATGCATGCACGGAGGCGGTCTGAGGTTTGCCCGTGATGCCATCTGTGGGTAATTCTCTGGCACTGACGCCGAGCCGGTCGCCAAGCACTGGCCTCCACGCCGAGGGGCGCGAGTCGTGGTGGAAGCATAAGGAACGAGCCCGAGTGCAAGGTCGATGAGGTGGAGAGGTGGCGTGAGCGCCACCGCCCGCCAGCGCAGGGGTGCGTGACCCTTTGATTTCTTTCGCGATTCATTAGAGTGCTGGAATGCTGTGGCCTCCAACGATCTTCGAGCGGCATGCTCAACGCTGACAACAATGTACCAAAACATACCTGATCTGCATCGCACTGCACCGCCAGCAAGCCACTCCGCCGCCGGCCGCTGCGAGCCACGCACACCCCGCGCACAGGCGGCGCGTTGGACAGCCGACAAGATCCCACCCGACGCACTGATGCCTCGCGCCAGAATCCCAAGCGTCGCACGGGCGCGCTTGGCCTCCGTTCCATTGCCTTATCATCCCCGGGCAAAGAGCTCACCATTCCTCACCTGTCCATCATGTCGGCGCTCGCGAGGTCTGCTCTCCGTGTGCCCCGGGGAGCCGTTCGGGCGCGCCTCGCCTCCCCGCGCCCCATCCCCCACGCTCCCTCCTTTCCTCGTACCGCCATCTCACGGCTCTCGACGGCCGCCGCCCCGCCCTCGGGACCGAAGTGGAATGCTCGTCGACTCCTCATCGCCACCGCGGTCTCGCTTGTTGCCTTCGGATCAGCGGGCTGGGGATGGCACTTCGTCGAGTGAGCTCAGCCTCCCTCCTCATCCGACGAAGCGCCTGCTGACAGCAGGAACCTGGAACGCTCGAGCGCCGGCTCCGAGCTCTCCGACCCCGAGCACATTGACGGCATGAGAAGTCCCGCCACGCACCACGACAATGCCAAGTACCCTGCGGTTTTGCACTCGGCACTGAACGAATACAAGGCTGCCTTCGACGCGGGTGACTACAGCGCCGCCGAGGCCGTCCTACGTGGCGTGTATGCCGCTGCTGCGGCGATGCCCGCGGAGAGCTTTACAGGCATCCTAGAGGGAGCCGTGGGCAAGCGACGGGTGGCGCAGGAACTGGCCGGCTTGCTTGCCGAGGTCGTGATTCTGCAGGACCGGGTGGTGGACGCCTGGATAATCTTGCGTGACGAGTACGATGCGCTCGGCGAAGCGCCCTTCACGACATGGCCCGAGGGGCCGGTGAACACGGCCGACACGTTCCTTGCCGCGCTGTTTTTGGCAAAGCAGCTCGCCCGCAAGGCCAACCTCCAGCTGGAGCTGGAGGAGCCCGAGCCCTTTCCAGCGCCCCCACCCGAAAAGGAGGAGCAGCGGCCCAAGAGCTGGAACGAGGCTGTGATGTACTACTACTACGCACAGGCGGCGGGTCTGCTCGACCTGGGCCTCGCCCACCTCGCTCCCGAGGACCGGCGGGTGCGCCACGCCTACCGGCCAGCTGAGGAAGGCGAGAGCCTCGAGCTTCTCGATGTCACACAGACCCCAGCTAGCCAAGAGGAGTCGCGGCAGCACACGGCCACGACACTCCGGCTCCTCGGCGGCGCGCTGCACCGCGACGACCAGCGCGCCCTCGCGGCGCAGTACCTCCAGCTAGCGTACAAGCTGTGCGACCCCGCATCACCGCTCGCCAACCACCTCACGCTCCTCGGCGCTGCGCTGGCGCAGGAGCAACTCGCCGAGGTCGCTTTCGTCAGCGAGTACCTCCACTCCAAGCGGGCGGGCAAGGTGGCGCGCTTCACCAAGGCCATCCGCCACTTGCACAGCTGTCTTGCACTCCTCGAGCGCTCCGAGGAGCTTGCGGCGCAGCTTTCTGACGACGAGCGGAGAGGCACTTCTCCGAGCGTGGACAATGACGAGGCGGAACACGCTGCAGTCGTGACCCCAACGCGGATGCAGACCTTTTACCACCTTGCCATGTACGAGGCGGTGAGTCTGTATGCGGGAAAGACAGCTGACCCCAGGCGGCGGGCAACATGGACTCGGCGCGTGGGGCGCTCGCAGACCTCAACCACCTCGCGGAGGAGGCCGGCACGCCGATTCTGTCCGAGCCTCCAGCTCCCGTCGACGGGCGTGGGCGTGACCTCGCTGAAATGGCCGCTTCGCTGCAGCCGTCGTGGTGGGATGTCGGCTCGTGGTTCACCAAGCCGAAGAAGCTGGAGACATCCGAGGCGGCGGGCCTGATTCCTCCCCCGCGCTGGCATTGAGATTTCAGATGTGTCAATAGAAGAATAGACGGAATGCAAATGGCGACGATGCCAAGGCGCTGGGCAGTATTTGAGTTGATCAGCGTGCTCGGCCCTGTTCACAAAAGGACGGGGAGAGTTCCAGCGTGGCCTCTGAAACGTCGGGCTTGGCGTCCGTGAGCCAGTCACATCTTCTGACTCACCGCGGGATGGGGACAAACTGAACACGCAGTGGGAGAGGTAAGATCAGATAAGATTGTGCTCGGCCGAGAGGACGCAACACGACGCCAATAAGCTGTGGCTGTTGGTGTGGGGACATGGTCGCTTCATGTCAACCATAAAGCAGTCAGAGCCCCCGCGCTACTTAAGCTTCTCTGCGGGGCCCGGCACGCCACACCCACCCGCGATGCGCCTCAAAGCGCTCACATTCGCGCTCGCGCTCGCTCTGCCCACCCAGGCCGCGCCTGCACCGCGGCAGGCGCCCGGCACCTTCGTCTCCGCAGATGACCTGACGGGGAACACAGATGTGATGATCGCGGGCGCGTCGGTGGCCTACCGCATGCGATACCGCACCGACCAATACGGCGCCGCGAAAGACGCTCTCGCGACGGTATATGTCCCCGCTGGCGCCGGCTCGGGTCCGCTGCGCGTGCTCGCATACACGCACGGCACGTCGGGCGTGGGCCGCGAATGCACGGTCGGGCTCAAGATGGGCTGGGGGGGACGGTACGACGCGTGGCTCGGCCCGTTCCTGGACGCGGGCTACGCCGTCGTCGTGCCCGAGTACGGCGGGCTCGGGATCGACGACTCCCACCCCTACCTCGACGGGGAGGAGACGGCGAAGAGCGTGCTAGACGCCGTGCGGGCGGCGCACGCTGGTGCGGCGCTGCACCCCGGCTTCGTGCCCCCGCTGCGGAAGGAGTTTGTGGTGTACGGCGGGAGCCAGGGCGGACACACGGCGCTGTGGGTCAACGCCATTGCGGGATGGTACGCGCCCGACCTGCGCGTGCTGGGGAGCGTGGGCGCGGCGGTCCCCGCCGACGTGGCGGGCAGCTTTGGCCTCCTCACCCCAGCCGTGCCGTACCTCCCGATCGTGGCCGAACTCACGGCATATATGGGGTATGTGTTGGCGGGGCTGCGGAATGCGGGCGTCGACCTCGCGCAATTCACCGAGCTCAGCGACGCGGGGCGCGCGTTCGCGCACACGGCCGCGACGGCGTGTTACCAAGACTTGGTGGGCAACACGGTCGCGAGCGGGGGCCTCGTCACCCGCCCGCTGGCGGGCACGGGGCTCGTCAACGCCGTGCGCGCGCACACGACGCTGCCCGTCGGCCCGCTCGCCGCGCCCGTGTTCCTCCAGAAGGGCCTGCTCGATCCCGTGTCGCCTCTCTCGGCCATCAATGCGTACGAGAGCCAGCAGGTCGCCAAGGGCACGAACATTTTCGCAAAGGTCTACGTGTCTGGTCACGCACTGCCGGTCCAGACTGCCGCGGACGCGCTGCGCTGGTCCAATGGCCTGGCGTGGTAGGGAGGTAGGGAAGGGTAAGATGCATGCACTCGGGCACGCAGTGAGTTTGCACCGAGAATGTTGGGCCGAGGGGACGTAGTCTCGGCGCCTCGAAGCCGCTCAAGCACGGTGCCGACCGCGGGTTTCCGTTTCGGATTTCTGTTCCAATGGACAGACAGTGAATCTCAGTGCGAGGGATGAGTGAAGCTCCAGTATACCATACATCTGCAAGTTGGGACGAGATGCGAGTTCTTTTGTCATCAGAGAGGACGTTGTGTGTGCAAGTTGACGGACCAAAGTCCATACCCTCGCATTCTTTCAATTGTCCTGAGTGCCACAGACGGGGAGGCGCACATCCGCCACGAGCCGAAGATAGCTTAGCGGTGGCCCAAATAGCCCTCGGTTGCGTGGAACGAAGGGAAGAACGGAGAATTGCAATTCGGCTCTACACAACTGCGTATGATCGTGTGACGATAGACAGAGCTGAGAGACAACACGCAATGCTGCCGAGTGCATGGTGATCATCAGACGATCAGACGATCAGACGATCAGACAAGCTTAAGCAATTAGCGCTACGGTCCGGGCGATCAACTGCGCAGCTGGGGCGATCAAACGCTTCGTCGTCGTCTTCCCAATTCTCCGAGTCGGAAGATTGAAGACTACGCCGCTGGAAGCTGGAAGCTTCGGTGAGTCACCCAGGACATCCGATTTTCCGGCGTTTGCGTGGCGCAGAAGCCAAGCGGCGGCGCAGGGAGGGGCACAGGGGCAGAGCGGGAAAACGGTGCGGAGGCAAGGGTAGCGGCGATCTGGGTCGCCGGGTCGCCGGGGCCTGAGCGGGGGCAAATGGAGTGCATGAAGTGGCGACTCTCGCACCATCACAGGCTGATCGCAGGACCTCGCAGGATTACAGGATCACAGGATCACAGGCCCGTCGCGGCTCGATGAATAGTTTGCTGGATAGATTCCGGAAAGATGTCCGCGTCGAGATCTGGGGTGGTGGATCGTGGCAGTTCAGAGGGCGGTGTCGTAACGAGGCGGATTGCGGCTGCGCAGACTCCAATGGATGGCGCGCGGCGGTCAATGCAGAGCTCTGCAAGTCCGGTCCAGTGTCTCACTTGTGCTTGCCGCTGGCCGCCGCTGGAATGCAGGCTTGGGCCTGGGTGCCTCTTGACGACGGTCTTGAGGCCATTCAATCTCTCCGTCACATGTCCTTGGTGGCTTATCTCAGTGCTCAGAATCTTGTTCCTCTCATGTCTCTGGCATCCCTTCGCTTGCCCGCTCCCCTAGCACCGCTCCTCTGCGCGCGCGTTTTGGTGCATAACTGCTTCTACAAACCTTCGGGTATACGACAAGACGGAATGGTGTTTGCGATACAAAGATGTCACATCAAGCCAATCAAAACCTGGCCTTGGGACCCAGCTAGACACAGGGCTTGGACCTAAACGCCAACAGGCTGCTGCTGCTGAAGCCAGTCCATGGAAAAGCTAAAGTCAAAGGGGGCGGCGGTGGGGGCGGCCGTGGCAGGTGGTGTGGCCAAGGCATCGCGCTGGTGCGGGAAGGCGATGGCAACGGGAACGTTCTGTCCACCTTGGGCGAGGAACATTGACAGATCGTACTGCGCCTGACCGAATGGGCCCGGCATCTGGAGGCTTTGCTGCTGAGACTGGTGTGCTTGCTGGGACGGCTGGAACATGGGCTGGGTAAACTGGCCCCAGACATCGTTCTGAGGGGACTCTGCGGGAGATGACGAGTGAGGCGACACGCCAAGCGCGACGCCCGGAGAACGACCCTCGGTGTGCTGCGGCGGCGTGATCATGTGCGAGCTGCCAACAGGCGAGTTTGAGCTCGAGGTCTCGGCCGAGTTGTTCATAAAGTTGAACGGGATGGACGGGGCGGGGGCCGCAAACGAGGCAGACCAAATCGGCTGCTCGCCTAGGTCGGTTGACGAGCGGGGCGTGATGAGACCAGAGGCCATGTTGCCAGCAACAATGTTGGCCTTTTGCAGATCCATCTCGTCAGACTCGTCGTCGTCGCCCTCCTCGGCCACATAAACGGGCTCCTCCTCAACGACACAAAGCTGTGCCATCTCATCAGTCCAGAGGTTGGGAGTGCCAGCCTTGGGGGGGAGGTGGGCCATCTGACGGAGGCGGTTGTTCTCCTCGAAAAGCTCGTTGCGCTCGGTGCTGAGCTCACGCACAATCTTGGCGGCCAAGATGCGCATGCGGCGGTTGTCCTTGAGAGCGGCGATGGCGCCGTTGACAACAGCGCTCTTCGAGGCACGACGGCAGCCACGGAGACCCGGCACGTGATCACGGAGCGTGTCGAACCGGCCGTTGAGAGTCTCGCGGCGGGCGCGCTCGGTCGCGTTGTGAAGCTCACGCTTCTCAGCGTTGTTGTTGCGCTTCCGAGGCTTGGGCTTGCTGGTGGTAGGAGTGGTCGTGCTGCCGCGCGAGAGGCCACTAGCCATGCCGACCGATTCCACATTAATGGAGAGAGGCATGGTCGTCGGCGAGGTCGAGGGCGGAGTGATGTTCGCCATTGTATGAAACGTGAAGTGTCGGTAAATTCAAAGGTCGAGGTTTACAGTTGCGGGGGTACAACGGGTTGTATGATGCGGGAGGATGAAGCGTGCGTTTAAAAGAGTCCACTGCGAGCAGAAAAGGACTGTCACAAGCTAGGAGATAGGTTATAGATTGAGGTTGCTAATGGGTTTGAGTGACAGAGCGTGGAGAGGAGGAGAGGTGCCGCGAGACGAATCTCAAACGTGCACAAGGTGGGCGGAGAGGAGGCTAGGAGGGGGAGTTAGGCCTCCAGCTTGGCGACGGTGTTCGAGGAGATGCGCCAGCGTGTGCCGAGCGGGTCTGGATGGATGATAGAGGGTTGGTCGATTGAGGTGCTGTGGGAAGATAAAAGGATTGTGTCGCTTGTGGGTCTGGGGAGACTGGCTAGACTGGATCTGTGTCTGATAGAATGGCACAGATTGGGTGTAAGGTTGGGGAGAGTTGTGCTGTTGCAATTGCAGGCGGTGGTAAGATGGTCGAATGCGAGTGTAGATTTGGGAGAGTGCTGGAGCGGGTCGCGAGCACTGCCATTAGCATCTCTGCGCGGTTTCTTTGGGTCTTGTGGGTGTTCTGGGGCTATCGCCTGCGATCGCCTGATCGCCTGTAGACGGAGCCCGGCGGCTAGAATACAATTGCCTAGCTTGTTCGCTAGCTAGCTCCGGCCAAGTGGCCGGCCATGGCCTCCGGTCTGCTACAGGCGTACAGGGTACACGATAGAGCGTCCAAGACATGTCTCGGAGCGGCGAGCCCGTGCCTCGGCGCCACGATTGTGATGGGCTCGACCAGACAGAGGCCGAGTAGATGTAGAGACTTACGAGCAAGCGGTATCCGGTATCCAGCTAGGAGGTCGGGATGGCAAAGAGCCAGTGAGGCGTATGTGAATGCAGCACGAGAGCTGATGAAGAGTGGGCGATGGAGAAGAGAAGGAAGGGGGGGGAGGTGCAAGTGGATGGCGAGCTCTGTGGCCGCTGGCTGACTGTAAATTGGACGGGGGGGGGGCCGGGGAAGGTGAGAGGAGGGCGCTAGCTGAGGGGGGGGGAGGGACGCTGGGGCGTGTGGGGAGAGAGCGCACGAGAAGGAGGGCGCAAACGGCAAGGGGCCGAGAAGACCGTCCGACTGGCTGCGCACTGTCCCTGCATCTCGGAGGACATGCCGAACTCCTTTGGCTCTCTCAAGGCGCGGGAGCAGAGGAGCCTGGGGGGAGACAAGAGAGGGTCAGTGCGCCCAAAACGAGGGGTTCAGGGGCGGCGGAAGAGAGTAAGCAAGGCACGGGCGTCTTTGGCGAATGAGAAAGGACAGGCACCGCGGTGCATGCACAGCCCTGCAGGAGGAGGGACAAGCGGGCATTTGGGCAGAGGGAGAGCAGAAGGAAGGGCGATGCTTCCTCCCAAGCATCCCCAAGCCCCCCCCCCCCAGGGAATGTGGCCATCCCACAACCCGGCGTTGGACATGACGGAAGCAAATCGTTGGCCAATATTCGATAATCTCTCTCGCACAAAGTCACCGTCGGCCATCTCCACAATCTTCCTCAACCCTCCGTTTAACAAGACTCATTGATCTCATGACGATGGATTACGACCTCCTCTCCTAATTTGCTTACTTGATGGCTGCTTGCTCTCAACAACAGTCTTCCATCATATCCCATGTCCCATGTCCCACGTCCCACGTCCCGTCCATCTCGGGGCAACTTTATCCTCTCACCCCCCCCCCCCCCCCCCCCCCCCCC